GAAATTTGGAAGCAGGGAGCGAGGGAAGAGACTCATGTCTCGCGCTCCTTGCCCTTCTCGCTGTTGAACTGGAAGGTCGGTGTCGATGGCACTCGCTGTTGGTTGCGAGGTGGGAAGGGTGCGCTGACCGACATGGGAGAGTCGCCCGTGACGGAGACGGAGGAGGATGGTGTGTGCCGGTGACGTGGGAGAGGCATGCCGCGAGGAACTGGTGACTCGGGAAGGGGTAGCATGCCGAAGAGTTCGGGATGGAGGAACGGGGATGGGGGCAACGTGTTGAGCGAAGATGATGCTAGGACGTTGGAATCCTCCGGTGGCGGGTAGGTAGGGGTGGTGGGCATCCTGAGCGGCGGTCAATCCGGCATTCTTTCCAAGCGACAATTGTACTGAGCCGTAGTGGTTATCGAGGGTGCCATGGAAGAGGGGCAGGGCCTTTCTAGATCCACAGGGGCTGCTGGGTGGTGGTGGGAGAGACGAACCCGACGCCAAAGTTGTGGGAACCGCCGACGATGGGGGTAGGCACGCCGCTCATGTCATAGCTCTCGTACGAGCCGTACTCCTCGTTGTCACTATAGGCAACGGAGCCCTCAAATGTCGAAGATGCCGGGCTGTAGCCGCCGTAGTTGGGGCTGGGGATGTTGAGGTACTGCGAGTTGACGTACGGGGACGACAGCACCAAGGGGGAGACGTTGCTGGGCGGCGCCGACTCGGCATTGAGCATCTGCAGGGACTCGGCACTGTAGCTGAAGGCAGGGTTGTGACCATACGGCAGATACGAGTCGCTGACGGGAGGCAGGGGAACTGGCTCGTTCATGTAGAAGTTGGGAGGGTTGAACTGCGGGAACGAGGGCGTTCTCGCGGGCTGGATCCAACCCATCCTCGAGCGGAACTCGTTGACCGTGTCGATGGGGAACTCCATGAGCGTCAGGGGGGTCTGCAGGTCGCCGTCGTGGTTGGCCGAGATATTGATAGACAGGAGGCGGCGGGCGATTTCCTCTACGGGGCCAATGGACAGACTGCCAAAGTAGGCGGCACCAATCTCAGTGAACAGACGCTCCATGATCAGGGCCACCGTGTAGTAGTAGGCAATGATGGTGAGTGCGCTGGGCGAGCCGCCCGTCTGCTTGAGGTACATGACTGGCAGCCAGAAGAGCCACGTCCGCAGGGGACGAAGGCGCTCAAACTGCTGGGAGACGGACAGCGTGGGGCTGACCTTGCGGGCGCCCTTGAGGAAGCTGATCAACTGCTGGATTGACTTGGTGTCCTCCTTGTTGTGCTTGAGATGGGCCTCGACCTTTTGTAGCTGGCTCAGGGTGCGGTTAAAGGCGTCAATATCCTCCTTGCGTGGCTGGCTCGGCTTGTGATCCGGACTGGGAGAGGCAGGAGCGGTTGGGAATGTGCAGCTCTCGGCGATGAAGTCGCCAAATTGAGACTCGTGCTTCCAGGAGTCCATGGCCTCGATGACCTGAAAGAGTGCGAGTCAGTATCGTCTCTCAAACCCTGGCGGCGGCTTCCTGTGTGTGTACGACATACCGACGAGGTTCCTTGCATGAGCTGGGTCCAGCTTCGCCTGCAATTTGTGCGTTAGTGCGGTACTGCATAACGGATGGCTGCTGCCAGTTGCCTACCAATCTGTGGCTTGCCACGACAGGACAAGAGAGGCTGCCAAGACGGCATCCGACGTCTCGCGGTCGAACATGCCAATAGCCTCCTGCAGACCCTTGAGGGCAACGCCGCGGTGCTCGTACGCCATGTTGCCCACCAGGGGGCAGTCGGTTAGGAAGGCAATGTGCGTGGCCGAGAAAGCCAAAAGCGCATGCATGACATACGGGTTCGTCGCTCCGATCTTGATGATGCTACTTTGGATCAGTACAGTTTGACGTAGAAAAGGCGAATTCCTACTTACGTGGGGATCTGGCGTGTCCAAAGGGTGAAGCCGTTGGCATCAAAGGTAGCCAACTCGTTGCAGATGGATGCTACGTGATAGATCAATCTGAGATCCTCTACAGACAAGTACTGAGGGTTCGGTGCCGGGTAGATGCCTAGGTTGGGGAACGGGAACATTCCCGTCTGTTGCCACTGCGAGATCTCTGCTTCGACCTCAGGAGTCCACATGAGGTCGGGCTTGTCGGGCGTTGTTGACCTGTCCTCGGGCATTGGCATGTCGTTGTAGGGGCAGCGAATCTTGTGCTTGGTGCAGTTGCGGCTGGGTTGTATTAGTTGCCGGTTCAGGAACAGAGCAGGAAGCACTTACCATTGGGGAAAGTTCTCATCGCATCTGATGTGGCGGCGTTTGCAAGTCTCACAGCCCTTGCGGGACTTGGTGTGACTGCGGCGGGGAGGACCACCACCAGGACCGGCCATTGTGAGCGCGGGGATGAACTAAACGAAAGAACTATGCGTGTCAGTGTAAGTCGGGAAACGATGGGCAGGCGCAACACGCACATGGGAGTATACACGGACAGACGACCGTGTATGGATAGCGAGTGGAGGATCGTTACTGGGAAAGTAACGTAAGGCTTAGTCTCAAGACTTAGACTTTAATACTGCGCGAGAGTGTCGATGGACCGGGGCAAGCGATGCAAAGGAGCAAATGCGTCCACGGATGTGTAAGCGACTGGCAGCAGGTTGGTCAGGCGCTCGGTGTGAGGCAAATGACAGGAAAATTGGTAAAGAAGGCCGCTTTGCTCGATAACCGATTTGGCGGGTTCCTCTTACGTCTCTTTCTGTCCTTGATCCCTTTCTTTTCCCTTCTCCTGTTCCCAGTTCCTGATACTGATAGCGATCGTGGGTGGGCGGGTTCTGGGTTTCCCGAATTTCCGTTGTATATCTCTCAAGTCCTCTGTTTCCGAAAAAGCGAGTGTGGTTGATCAGAAGACCGATGTACAGTGATGGAGCATTTGCTGGTTGCAAGCCGAGTTGTGGGAGAGGCGGGGTTGTAAGCTAGCGAGTCCCAGGAGTTGTTGAGGCTGGAGACCAGGGTATTTGGCGATGAATGCTTCGAGGCTGAGGCTGCTGGGGTAGACTGAGCGCGGGTTGGAGAGTTAGGCTTTTCCTTTCCTTTTTGTGTTCGGTTTTGTTTCTCTTCCGAGGATCTTGTTGGGAGAGAAATAATTGAAACAAGAGGGCGGGAGGTGGTTGGTTTGGAGGAGGACGGTTTTGAGATTTTGGCGGAAGAAGAAAAACACAAGAACGCGAAAGCGAATGACAGGAGTCAACGAGGACTTCCTAAGAGTAGAGTTAGGAAAAAGCGAATGTGGTTGAGGACAGCGCGAGCAGCTCAACGAGGCTGATGGGATTTGATGTTTGATGTAGGCTGAGAGGAGGGGAGACAGGAAAGGCGGTGGTAGATGGGCCGGGGACAGATACAGTTAAATAATGGCACCTCACCCTCACGTCCCCCAAGAGGAGGAGAGACAGTGGCCGCAGCAGGCACAGCACAACCCTCACACACATGGATGCACACCACTCACACACAGGCTCCGTCCAGTCTGGCTTTTTGGCTCAGGAAGAGGGCAGCACACACGGTTGAGAAGTGCCACACCAGGTCCCGGCCTAATCGGGGCAAGGCATGACCACCGGGTGGGAATAACGGGGCATGACCTGTGAGCAAGGGCAGAGGAAAAGAAAGCAAAGAGAAAAACAGCTGTGCTGTGCAGGTTGCTGCAGCTGATGCTCCTCCATCTGGGCGAGGGTGGGTGTGCGTGTGAGTGCGAGTGTGTGTGGATGTGAATGAGATGTCCAGGTGCGTAGACCCCAGGCTCAGGTGCGGGTGCAAGGTGCAGGGCTATGAGAGGAGACAGAGAATGGATGGGACAGGGACATGTGTGGACTGTGGAGGGGAGGGGCCGTCCGTGCTGGGATCGTTGCTGGGACTAGGCAGTGTGAAATCCGTACGTACCGGGTCATTAACTCTCTCTCTCTCTCTCTCTCAGCGATGTGCGAGATGTATCTATGTATTTGTGTGTGTATGTATGCGGGTGTCGCGGGTGTCGGGTGTGTGAGAGTATACGCAGCGTATTTGTACACTATTGCCCTCGCTCTCTCTCCAACTGCGTATGCTTTTTCCAAAGGTGACAGAGACCGAGTGAGTGGCCTCAGTAATGACAGATCCAACAGGTTCTGGATCCGAGAAACAGGGTTTTCGCGGATTCTGACACAGTCGTCCGCGGCTGGGGTTAAGCCTGTTGGACAGAGAGGCTTGGAGTGTGTCGGTGAAGACTGGTGCGTCGCGGAGCTTATTCTTCTTCTTCCTTCTCTCCGTATCGTTGTCGTCCGTAAGGGGGGCGGGAGTGAATCGCGATGCCCTGTTAAGATAGGTACAGTATGAAGGGATGGGATGGATTGGGGTGAGATGGGACTCTGAGATGGGAAGGGGAATAAGAGCAGGGATCCCGGCTATGGTCAGCCAAAGAATCGAGGCGAGGGAGAGGGTAAGGATTGGCTCTGTGTGTGTCCGTACACAAGGTAACGCAGGCGTGTGCATGTACTTTAATGCATGGAGAGACTGGGGGGAGCAGACGAATGAACGAGAATGAGAATGAGAGATGTAAAGAAGAGTTATTTCTCATCGAGGATGGGACGACTACAAAAAGAATCCGGCAGGGCGGAAGAAGATGAGTACGTACTCGCCAAATGGGGGTGAAGAAGAATGAGAGGAGTACAGGAATACAGGAGATAATGGGTCGAAGTCGCCGCCGGCATGGATGAATAGGTGCTAACTAAAAGATTCCTTGTCATGTCTGATGAGCTTGATGTCAACGGCCATCATCATGTCTTGATGTTCCGGCGTGTATTGACACGGGACCCGAGCAGCTTGCCCCAGCATTCGGTAGTCGTTCGTAGTCAAAGGTAGTGGTAACCAGCCGTAAGGTAGGTAGTCTGGGATTTCCTTAGACGAGCAGACCCTCGGCGCTATTCCGCGTCTACCGTGTCTATCAACGTCGGTATCTGTCAAAGACGGCCGTAGTAGGATCGTAGTGTCGAGTGTAAGTACAGGACTACGCCCGAAATGTTAGTTTTGTGCTGTACTGGGCAATGTGCTGTTTGTCCATCGCACCGCCAATCTCCCCGTTCACCCGCCAAAGGTCGACCCAAAAACGAGCCAAAATTAAAAATAACCTTGGGCCCCTCCTCCCGTGGGTGAGCCGGCTTCTTGGGCCCCAACCAAAGGCGGCGGCGATTCTCACTTGCAAAAGAACTAACGCAGAGGGAGGGAGAGGCCGGGGGCCGGGGCGAAAGGGCCACTCACTGGTGACTGGGGGCCACCAGTGGGAGGGACCGAGAAGTGAAAACAAGCGGTGGGGTCGAGTCCATCCAAGAGAAGACAGATGATTGACCGACCAAGCCGAGGGGTGGGTGAGTAAGTGAGCGAGAGAGAGAGAGAGAAACTGAGAGTGAGGGGGGTAAAGGTAAGAGAAACTGCTAGAGAGACAGAGAGGAAATGTGTGTGTTGGTGAGCGAGTGACTGACTGACTGACTTTGGCCTCCCACCTCACCCTCTCGAGACTTTCTCTCCTCCCCACGCTGCGTGCTGATGATTCTAGTCCGCAATGGGGCTGAACAACTGTGGGAATCATGGTTTCGCAACACGCTCGCATCGTGTCCATGCCGAATTCCCACCTCCTTTCGCACCTCTCTCTCCAAGCAACACACACTCCCCCTCCATATCGAACCGACCACTGGGAGACGGCCCTTGGGTTTGCTGCGCCTCAAGCTGCTGCTTCTGCTTTGCTTCGCTTTTTGCTTTCACATCCCAAAGTTCGCCGACGGAAACATGCTCTCCAGCACTAGTTGACAAGCCGCACCATCTCCATGTTCCATCTGGAGACTTTCTAGCGCGTTCCTCTGCCATGCCCTTCCCAGTTAGCCATCCGCTGAATGTGTGGCTGGTTTCTCCTCGGGCGCGCTGGCACAGGGCCCCGTTGCCTCTGTTACCTTCGCCTCTCTGGCGCCGTCGCTGTTGCTGCTGTGGGCGATTCTGCCGCTGGTCTCACTCTCGCGGCTGCTTTCGCTGCTTGTCTCCTTCGGGAATGGCTTCGTTACCTTTGCTGCCCCCTGCTACCGGCCCATCATCGCATCACTGCGTCGCGCCGCTGATGCCATGCCATGCTGTTCCATTATCGCTCCGTATAGCCTCTCTATTTTCGATGCCCGCTTGACTGGACCTCACTACCACCGGCCGGGAAGCTGTATGAGTCTTAGAGGTCAAAGGTCAGAGAATAGGGGCAGGGGCTAATCTTGTCCCGATCCAGTCCAATGACACGCTGCGGGCGAGGTGTCGGCAGGGAGCTAGTCAACACGATGGAGGCGAAGCAATCGCCAGTCAGCGAGTACTGTATCGTTGCCTGTCTGTGCCAGCGTCTGTGCCGGTGACTCTTTGCGACGCTGCCGAACCAGTCATGGACGACGTCCCCAGCCCAACTCAACTCAACTCAATCCATCCCATCTCATCCCATCTTTCGGTCTCTCGCCCTCTTTTGCGCTCATGCTCATGCAAACATGCTCGTGCAACGCGCCCACTCAGCCGATGACAGAGAGCACCGCTCACCGTCCAGTCCCAGACAACCACTTGGCTCAGCTTCATGCGAGCTTAGCTCTGCGCCCTTGATTCTTCGTGATACCATTCAGCAGGAAATCTAGGCAATGTGAATGCTCGGGCAAAAGCCAAAAGGGGCCCGCCAGACCGGAGCTCGGGCGGCAAGCAGTATTCGCTGCTTTTTTCGTCCATCCCAACTATGGACTTGGAAAGGAAGACGAAAAGAGATGAATGAAGGGGTAGACAGACTCCGCGATCCAGGACAACATCCCCATGGCCGCCAAAAGCCCTCATGGTTGGGGCTCGTGGCTGGAAACCTCTTCACTCTTTGCAGGCCACTCTATACTGGGCCTCTCTGTCAAGCTGTGATCAAAGTTATCTCCTGGCTCGGCAGACCACCGTCACCCAGTTGGCAGAATCAGGTGACTTAGGTAATAGCGTCGACAATTGAGTTGCGGGGCCTATAGCATGAGAATAGCAGGCGGCGACCGTGGACAAGTTGAGTTGAGCACCGCCCAGAGTAACAATCCATTGCCCTCGGCATTCGCCATTTGGGCTTGCATGGTATGCATCCGACTAGTCTTCTCCGGGGCTGAGAGCCTGAGAGGGTGCTCTTCATGATGTATTCGGTCAGAACCCGACTAGGCGGCCAACATCGTCATGTGGACTCAACTTGCTTGCCTTTCTATGGCTCCGGGTGTGGTGACATGCAGTACCGTCCGTCGCCAGAACCCTACACAAAGGTCCCGTCACCTTGGCCTGTGCCAGCAGTGGAAGCGGTTCTCTCCGTGTGTACGTCCACAGCGAGTGGCTCTCTCCCCATTCCCAACGACACCCATTGCCCATTTGTTGTAACTTGTACGGAGTACCTACCGCCTGCCCTATGACCGACCCCAATCGGGCGGCCCTAGCACTGGGTCCAACAAATAGCCTCCGCGGGCATGGGTATAGGTAGGTATTGCTTGCGGCGCGCCTGTGTCTGCGACTCTGCATACCAAATTTCGTACAGCTTTTCTCGCCTCGCTGTTGCGTGGTTGATCGAGTCCTTGAGGGCAAGAGCCTCTGCGTTCTGAAGTTGCACACGCAATCGTCCCAAGTCAGATGACGAGTCTCTGCCACCATCGTCTCGACATCTCTGGAAGCTGACATTGCCGCGGCGAGAACTGTCCAAAAAGCAAGAGAGTTCGACTCCCGTCATGCCACAACCTTGAAGGATAAGGAGCTCGAACTCTCAGCTAGAGCCCCGCCCCGGTCCTGGTCTATCGAGGAAGAGTGTCCTTGCATCGTTTCCCATTCCGACCGGAAGAGGAAGGACCCTGTTCCCATCTCTAGCCCACTAGAACGACTGACGAACGTTATGCGGTCATGGATCATGGGCATCCGTGCATACTTCCCCCTTGAGCTCCCCGTCACCCATGCGGACCTTGCCCCGTGGTATGCTATGCCGAAAGAAGCGCCAGCGCGATGCGGCGGCGACGAAAATGAAGGCGCCCGGCTGGTGGACACCGTCCTGAAGAGAACAGCCAAGGACTATCAGGCGAGTTGAAAGCTCTCCTAGGCTAAGCTACAACTCTCCGCGACGCCAGATACGGCCTAGGACCTACCAGGTAACATCAGCCAGAGAAACCTGACGGTCATTCAAGACATGGTTTCAAGCCTGTGCCGTCGAGTCCGAGCTTTCGAACCACAGCACTCACACAAGTTCCCCTACCAGGACCTGGGTCGATGCCGTGGCAGGGGGTTGATGGGCAAACACCAACTATACCCACTGTCCACTATGGTATGGATCTGCTGCTGCCGCTGCCAAAACAAACCATCAAAAGTGCTTGGTGGTTTGTGCTTTTCTGGTGAAGCAACGACACAGCGTCCAACCGTCTCGGTGCGACGTTTGGGGGCCTGTGTTCTGCCTTGTGTTATTTCTCCGACTCGCGTGTCCATCGATCCCTTGAGGTTATCCCCTGTCTGTAGCCAAAGTCCCTGCCGAGTCTGAGAAACAGTCCATGATCCCATTCTCGTCTCCGGAGGCTGACAATGTGCCCCTCGGCTGTGTCCCGATACACTTCAGACGACTGCCGGAGCCAACCGAATGTCAAATCATGAAGGCGAATCGGGCAGATCTTGGGACTAAGGTTTGAGGTCGTTGCTATTATGTCACATCTGCTGGGCATCTCCGCCCGGAGCACTGTGGCCAAGGGCTTGGAGATGAGCGTGAAAGAGTTTTAGAGATGAAGGTCCGAGAAGGGAAGAGAAAAAAAAAAAGTGCCACGATCGTTTCCCCGCTCTACTTCGGCGTCCAGCTTCACCTCGGTGGGTTCGCTAGCGTAGCTTGCCTTTTTGCTTGGTATCCGTAGTGTAGGCGGGTGCATCGAGTAGCAGCGAGTCAGAGTGAGAGGTCGGTGGAGAAGACTAATTCAAAGACAAAAAAACGTTAATTCGATCCCTCTTCCCCAGCAAGAACAAGACGTGATGCTTTGGAGCGCCGTCTCAAGTAGAATGAATCTCCTTGGGGGATCTCTGTCTCCCGAGGTCTCGTCGCATTTCCTCCGAAGCCTTCTCAGAATGCCCCCCCCCCCCCAATGTCTGCTCCGCCGCGCTGGGGTTGAGCGCGGGTCGCTTCTACCCAGGGCTTCCATCTCTTGCTCTTGTCTCTTGTCGTTGTTTGAACATGCCTCTACCAATCTGCAAGGGGCCAGGAGATCGGAGTTGCAGGGCGTCTTTCTGGTTCTGGTTGGCTGAAACAGCAGTTTCTCGTGTCCATTTTTGGCGTGCGCTGCTAGGGTATCTGACCCATGCTCTGCTTTTCCAGCCCTGGAATGAGAAACATGAACGGGGGGCTCGTCATAAGCAACTTTCCCGAATTGTCAACGAGATCTCAGATAGCCATCACAAACCACGAGGCACCTGGTGTCACCGCTTAGCGCAACCAGCAACATACCGTCAACCTGTCTGTGCCGGCTCTCGGGGACGTAACGCTTACTGCGTATGTCGTGGCGGTGGCTGTTCTCAACGCCGTCCAGCAAGTCAGCTTCCACACAGGCCGATGAGTGCGCGCGCGTGTCAAGGGTCGCCCGTCTCTGGCCGGGCCCGTGTGAGGTCCGCTTCTTTGTGCCTGACCGCCCCGTATGGCTCTCCTGTCAACCCTGTCAGACTGTCAGGGATGTCCTTTCATGACACAGAACACACCAGGACCAGCACACCAAACATTGATATGGAGTCAGTCATTTGTTGGCCAGCAGCGGTGTGAAGCAGCAGCGAGGTAATCTTCCGAAGAGACATCACGAGTGGGTTTGGCCTTGCTGGGCGGGATGTTGGAATCTTGGAGATGTGGGCGCTCTCTCTTAGGGTCCAAGGAACCGAGGTAAATGGAAGGCAGCTTGCCAGCTTCCAGTCGTTGAAGGCAGGTCGGAGAGCGGCCGCCGGACGTGACCTACCGACCGTCCGAAGTTACGATGCAGGAAATGCAGGAACAAGAAGCGTACAAAGCCTCAGAGGTCGGCGGTGCAGGAGAGTCGAAAGAAACCTGCATCATCTTGACATCAACATACGCTTCTCGGCCCGTCTGCGTAATCCGGTCCATACGGTGATGTGAGCGTCAGCGAGCCTCTGGCAACAAAAGCACCACATCATGGCACTTTTTTTTTTCCCTCCCCGCCACCGACCGAAGTTACTGTGTCTCAGTCGATTGGCTGGCGAAGAGTGACCAGCGGCCTGAGGCTCTGATATGGTGTCCTCCTCCCAATATCCATGCAGAAGCATGGTTGAGGGCATCTGGTTCTTGCCGTATTCGGCAAGGCGGGTTTCTATTCTTAAATAACCTTCTTTCACGTTGTCTGCGAGATTTCGGCCAAATTCACACCGCGTGCTTTGGCTTTCGAGTGCATTGGAGAGACTTCTCGGGTACCGGGGCATTTCAGCTCTCAGGGTCCTCTGGGAGACGGCATTTGCTGATCTGGAGCCACATAATTATTTTTTTCTCTCCTCTGTCTTTTCCATATTCGGCAACATCAGCAATGTCATGCGTATGATGCGTCGGATGGGGCTGAGAGACGCAACGTTCCATAGTACGCTAGCTGTCTGCCGATGATGCATAGCATTGGGACAGGCGGCACCTCACTCGTTAAGTCGCCGACAGGCAGCGATTTAGGGCACGCCGTTCGCTCCGTCTCCGGTAGACTTGTTGGTGATCGACATCCGCCGCCATGTTTGATTTGGGCGCAAAGACGATCCCGCGCTCGGGACGTGTCAAGGTCTCAACTAGAGAGTCCTCCAAGGAGCCATGTTGGGTTCGAAATCGGCTATGCAGATGGCGGACTTGACATGCCCCCACTGCCGCCGTCACGTCGAGATGGTGGGAAATTTCAGACAGCGCGCGGGCACAGCGCGGGCTGATCGCAGTATGATGGTGGAAACATTGCGGCCGCCAGCTACCATTGGCTCTTTGACCGACAGGGCAAAGGGAAACCCTGTGCGCATCACCGACCCGCATATGTGAGTTGGACGTTGTGCGAGCCGCGACGGCCGAGCGCGGTGAGTAGACGCATGGGGTGTCCCGGAAGCCTCGAGGCTAGGGAAAGAGATCTGCCTCTCCAACACGCTGTTCGTGCCACGGCACCCACAGAAAGTGGTGTTTTTGTAATCCCGTCCTCCCACACACTGCTGCCCGCTGTATTTCTGTAGCTTCTGAAAATCCACAAGCCCGGCAGCCCGGTGAGACCGTGAGCCTCCCTCAAGATCTGTGGATAGCTAGTCCAGCTGCGAAGTCGCCACGGAACTAGCGGAGTCTCGGGGCTAGCTTTCCTCCCATCCCGACCCGCCATGTTTGTCAAGCGCTACCTTGGCAGAAGCCACACAGAGATATCAGGATGCGTGCTGGTAGCAGAAGACGCTGCAAACCAAGCGAGGCTTGCCAACCATGTTTTCGATGGATAGGAGGCGGTGAGAAGGGCAAAATGTCGAGCTAGTACCACACTGCAGAGTGCAGTTGCCGTCCGATCAGTGGGTTGGTCGGTGGACGCACACTAATCAGCCACAGACGCAGAGCCAGAGGTACCTAGAGAGATGCAGCGATGCAGAGATGCAGAGATTCAAGAGTTGGACGCATGCAAGCGATGCCAATCAGCAGAGTGGATGGCGGTGATTTGTTTATATGGCGCATGACCTCAATTATCCTGGGCCTTCATTCGACAATGGGCTTGGCCAGGGTCTCCAAGCTTTGCTCCGCGTCGAGAACTCTTCGGTGCGGAGAAGATGCGACTCTGCCATGGACTTTTGCTGATGAAGGTAGTTTATCCGCTGCGAGTCCGAGCCGGGGACAGGGCATGGGCGGCTGGGTGAGCATAACAGCCCTAGGCTCGGGGGTTCAAACGGGCAGCTATGCTGCCAGATGTCAATCTATGGCATATCGTCGGCCGAGTGACTAGCAGATTTTCCTTTGCCAATGCTTCTCCTTGCCGGCCGGGTCCTAGGTCTCCAAGGGGGCCGTTACTGTCCACCAGGGGAGGGGGCTTGGAGTCGAGAATAATGATGACTGATCAGAGCGTGGGACGTCGATTCGATGGGGGGTTGGACTCTTGGAGAATTTGCAAGCCCAACTTCCAAGACAATGGTGTATCCGGTCTCCGTCCGTACTCTGTAGACGAAAGCGTACGGACAGATGGTACGTACTCTTCATCGGCGGCGAGGCGAGGGGTATCATATCATATGGATATGGGTAATTCGCTCATACTGATCCGCCCGTCTCCGTCGTGGGTTCATCGTTCGTGGGCGGCAGCGGTCATTCTCGTTTATTATCGTTAATTGCTGTAAAATTGTTGGCATTTCTCTTGGGCTTCTGGAAAATGCGCAGGGCCGTCCTTCCCCACCATGCCTCGAGCGGCACACCGGGCACAATCGGCAGGGGAAGTGTCGGAGTTCCACCGCTTAGCGGAGCAGAAAGGAACGTCGAAGGGAGGCCAATGACTGGGGGGGCGTAGCAGCACCATGAATGGCCGACTCTCATACCAGATGGGGTTTAGCCAGGTGGGAAGGGTGTGGGCAAAGAAGCTTGGTGATTATGATGGATTCATGGCCAGACGTGGTTGGCCGGCTGTCGACAGAGCTGGGAATACTGTCTCGGCTGTCAGTGACGGGAGGTACAGTACGAAGACAAAGTAGTACTCTGCTATGTATCCATATGTCTGCAGTCTGTATCCGCGGGGATACAGCGAAACAATGAGCCTAACCGACGGCAGACCTTGTCTTGAAGGCGGATGATGTGCATGTTGACAGGATCATGTCCGTCTGCGCGGTGCCAGTCTCCAGACGGGCCACTTTGGTGCGGTCTTGTGGATTTTACCGCCTCAACATTTGTGATTTCCCTGGAGAAGTGAAGTGAAGCGAGAGGTTGTCGTCTCATGTCATCGATCCAGCCGCTAGCGTGGGCTCGATTAGAGTAAAGTGAAGCCGAGAAATGCAAAAGTTCATGACCCGAGGCATCCAGGATGGTGAAGGGAGAGTCCCTACCCCTACGCATTAGAGAGAAAGAGAACGTCGAGTAGTGAGAGGGCC